AAAACAGTGCAGCTGTTTCAGTGGAATCAGTAACGCCCCTAGGCAGCATTCTAGATAAGTTCTGGCCTACTCACTACTCTGTAGAAGCAGCAGGAGTTAAGGCAGGCAAGAATTCAAGTTAACAAAGGCTAACAGCTACTTTCCCAACTGTCCCCTGAGCTCATTTTGCTCAGCTCTGTCACAGATCCTTCTACTTTTGTTCTTCCTGATCAATCACAACGGCTTAGATGACCTCCCCTATCTTTTGGGCCCAGCCACAGCTTAGGTATCTTTGAGGGTTCAGTTCAGTTCCACCTGCTCCTCAGAGCCTCTCCTGACCTCTCAGTTTGCAGCACGTTCTCTGTCCACTGATGGTCTGCCCTGCGCTCTCTGCTCCACCACACCACCTCATACCGTCAGTTGTGGGTTTTACCTTCACCTCATCTCTCCCACTCCGCCCTAGCAATCTTCAGAACTATAACTTGCTGACCTCTCCACTCAGCATGTCCAAAACAACTCATCTACTTCAGTACCAATCACCCTCTGCCCCAAGCACACACAGAAAGCTTCCTGCTATCTTCTCGATCAACAAAGTTAAACGCTACTTATCAAACGTTCCCTATGTCTAAAGTACCTCTTTAGCACTATGGTCACAGAAAGGTAAGCAACCATGACGAAGCCCCTTGACCTCCCTGCCAGGAGACGTTCGGTGCCCTGCTTGTACCCACACACTCATAGCACCCTGTATTTAGCGTGACCTCTAAACTTACATATCATATTTCAGTGGCATCTCCGCCTCACTAGACTGTGAGCATCAACAGGACAGAAGTGATGCCTCTCTTCCTTGCCAGCGCCCAGGACAGAGCCTCATATCTTGCTCATGGCAGAGCGACCTTTGCTGGCTGGTTAGGTGATGAGACCATCTGCCCTCAGGAGCTCGCCGTCAAGCTGGACCCCTAGACTTCAAGTTACCCCCCATTCTTTCATAACTAATCATCAGCACATTTTCTGGGCTCTGTGTTCACATTATGCCCTTCTCCATCCACTTTCTCTTCCCCTCCATGATCACCAAGTACCCCGCCCCGCACACACCACGTGGATTCTCTTCAATCTGGACAGTCTGCTAGTTTCCCCACATCCCCATGGCTATCGCCACCACTTCCCTGCAATCCAGCTCCCACACAACCACTACAAAGACCTTTCTAAACCACGCACTCTCCCCTGCTTAAGACGTTTCCATTGACACTCTCCTGAATGTAGCCCCAGCTCAAGGCCCTACTCTCTCCCACTCACCTGAGTCTCAACCCAAACCATCCAATCATCCACACCATGCTCTCCTCCTTCCATAAACTCCCCTGAACCTTTCTACCAGTTAGAAGCATTTCTTCCTTTAAGACCCAGTCCAAGTGCCCCTACCCCGCCCTAGGCTAAAGTCATAGAATTTTCTCTTCACTCCTCCAAAGCACCATGACTACAGCTTTGTCCGTATTACTTTTCCCTGTCCTGTCCCTTGGTTGTGTGTGCACCTTGGCTGTCCTGACTCGAGCCTGTAAGGTCCTCCAGGGCAGAGTTCAAGGGTGAGGAAGGGTTATTTTAACCGACACTGTCATCTTTACTGATATTGTAATGACCCTGATTACGCATTGGGATGATTACATATTGTAATGATCCCAAGGTGGGGGCATTTGTGATAGGGGGTGAAAGTAATCCATTGAAAAGCAACCACTGTTTACAAAGAAAGTGGTACAGATACCTGTGAAAGGCAAAGCCAGATAAAACCAACTGAGACACCCCCCACCTAGATTAAAACTAGCAGGCAAAAAACAAAATAAAACTAGCAGGCAGTGTCCTCCTTGGTGGTACAGCCGGTTGGCACTGCACTGCTAAGCTAAGCCAAGCTGTGGTCACTTCAGTGTGAGTTCAGTTCCTAGCCCGGAGGGGACCCACATGGCACAGCAGACCTCTCCTGTCTTGCCCACTGCTCCCCCTCAGTGTACTTCATTGATCTGCCTGTTCTGCTCCCCACTCTGTCTCCGGTGAAGCCTCTCACTGCCCCTGAGCCTCTGGCCTGTACCCCAGTTCTGTATGCATAGATATTTAAAATATTAAAATAAAACAAAACAAAAACGGGCAGGTGTGAGCTGTAAGTCCAGGCCACACCAAGAGACTAAGTCCTGGAGAGGCTTGTAGGGTAGTGGGACAAACTTGGCCTTTACTTCTCATTGAGATCGGGAGGTATTACTCAAAATTACATTTTGAAAAATCACTCTGGTGACTGAGTTCAAGGTCAATTACAGGAACGACAAGGACAGAGCAGGACAGCGCTGGGTCGGCTTCTGCGGTGGGCTGGCAGACATGCCATTCCAGCCCCTTCTTGCCCCAGGCTCTTCCTGACCAGCCGGCTTCCTCTCCTTGACCACTGAGCGAAATGCTTTTAAAGTGTTACCACTATGCTCAGATCAGAGCTGAGTTTGCTATTTGAGTGCTTAACTGAGTTCTAAAGCAAAGATAGTGCAACCATGCATCACTGAACAATGAGGACCCGTTCTGAGGAACGCATGTTTGGGGAGTTTCGTCATTGTGAGAGTGTCATAGAGTGTGATGGCACAAACCTAGATGGCCTGGCTGACTATATGCCTAGGCTCTGCGGTAGCGCTTACTGGGACTCCCCACCCCCACCCCATGAGCAGCCCCCTTGATGGAAATTTCAGGAAGCAAATCATGACTGGATAGGAGAAGCTGGAAAGAAGGGGCCAGGAGACCAGGTCAAACAGCCTGGGACAAACTCGCCAGGGAGTAGCCAGGCTGGGTTACAAGGCATTTCAGTGAAGGACACTATCCTAAGACTTGTTCCCTGTCCACTTCCCTGTCCCTTCAGAAATGCTTGTGATTCCAGGGTAAGCCAGTGGGTCCTGATCCTTTCCGTTTTGCAGCTGAAGACATTCAATCAGGGAACAATGTTGGAGTAAATCTGGAAACCTATTTAGAGAGTTTCACAATCAGATTGTAATGACTGAAAGAATTAGGAAGAGGTAAAAATCAGCTGTGAAAATCGTTAAAATAAAGGAAATTCCAGGCGAGGCTTGTAAAAATGCTTCAGGGCTTAATCGCAACTTCTAGGCTTCCAGAATGAAAAGCATGCCTACATCATTCTAAATTACCAGGAAACACTTACTCTATTGGAGATGTCCCCCAGCCCAATACACAACACAGAAAAGTGTGCAAACTACAGTTTATCTTAAATGTTTTCGTGAAGAACTCCTAATAGTGGTTATCCAGTGGAGGAGGCAAAGGCGAGAGGAATCTCTATCATCTTCACTATTTCTGTCATGTTTTATATATGGAGGCCTATAATTTTATTAATAGTATTAAATCAGATGCATTAAACAGCAACTAAGATTTCTACAGAAGAAAGAATGCACTGAGGAACGAACCACTCGAAACAGCTCTTGGGCAGTTTAAAAAACTTTTTTGATTATAATGTAAATAAATGAATACCATTTTATCTGTAATGTGACATTTTTATATTATCAACAGTTTTTCTGAAACTGAAACTGAAAAGATCATATGATCCAGTATTTTTCTTCTGGGTATTTACCTGAAGAATATAAAAACACTAATATTATAAGATGTATACATTCCTACATTCATAGCACCGTGATTCATAGCAGCTAAGGACTCTCTAAAGGCATACAGATGAATGGATAAAGAAATTCTGTATGTGGGCCCTCCCTGGTGGTACAGTGGGTTAGGACGCAGCACTGCAAGCTAGCCGCAGCCTCTTCAGTGCAAGTTTGATTCTCAGCCCCGGAGGTGACCCACATGGCACAGCAGAATTCTACTGACAGGCCCGCTGCCCCCCTCAGCAGTGTACTTCATCGATCTGCCTGTTCTGCTCCCCGCTCTGTCTCTGGTGAAGCCTCCCACCGCCCCTGCACCTCTGGCTTGTACCCCAGTTCTGTATGAATAAATAAATAAATCTTGTAAAAATTTTTTAAAAAAGGAAATACTATATGCTCAATGGATACTACTCAGCTATTCAAAAAAAATGAAATTGTGCCGTTAGCAACTATATAGATGGAGCTCGGGGAGGCGGGGCTAAGTGAAGTAAGTCAGAAAGTGAAAGACAGACACAGGATGGTTTCTCATTTGTGGACTATAAATAACCAAAGGAAACAAACTGTAAAACACAACAAAAATAACCCTTAGACAACGTGAAAAATATGGTGGTTAGCAGCCGGTAGAAGATGGGGTGGGGGGCTAGAGCGAGGTAAACATGGTGGTGAGCAAAGGAAGCATGTGGGATCGTCCAGGGTGTGGAGAAGGTTTTGTAAAGGAATGGTAAGTCACTAAACTCTCATTTGAAAAAAGGTTTCTTCTTCTTTTGGTAATATAAGCAGGGCCTACTTTATTTTAATAAGAAAAGACAAGTAAGTTACCTAAGAAAGCTCTTAAAAGTGTATTGAAGCATGATTAGATTTCATTCTCTGGATATTATTAGGGAAAAGGACAAGCAATTTGTAGTATACAATGAGTTCAGGGCAATCTTATTTAGAATTGGAGCGGCCAGACTGCTATGATTGTTATTTCACGTACACATCTCTGAGACATTTAGTCTTAGGCTGCTTAAAGAGTTAGAGCTAAAAAAAGGAAGTTAGCACATAGCCTCTCTTATTATTGTATTTTGCACAGGGATTCTTAGAGTAGCAGGAAGTAGTTTGTACTCTATCACATGGGCTAGATTTAACAGGCAGAAGGGGGCATGGTGAAGGTGGAACAGTTGTCTGAGCTTTGAATTCCTTTGCTTTTTTAGTTTTTGGCTGTCTTGATGTAATCTAAATACAACTTCATTTCAAAATATCTAATCACAGACTTTTCCCAGTTCTGTTCTAGTCTTATTTTTGACATACACATACAAGTATAAACAGTTTCTGTTAACCGGTTAAAATAATAAGATCTTCAGTAAGAATACCAAGAAAACACAAGAGACACACTCAAAAAGACTGAAAAGATTGACTTACCACTGGATTTAATTTCTCGGACATAATTACTAGGGAACCAGCCTGTTCTCCCATTTAATGTGCCTTCCCACCAGCCTCCTTCTTCCACTCTAGTGACATAAATGATGTCCCCTTTACAGACTGACAGTTCATCTTCATTATTCTGCTTAAAGTTGAATCTTGCCTTTACTACCAACTGGTGACTCCCATTTTCCGTCATCTCCTAGAGAAAGAAAAGCCACACGACATGAAGCATTCTTATGAACGAGGCAGGGCAGACATTATATGAATTTAGCAACTAAAGCAGGGTGACCGAGGATAAAACTCCAGTTTCATTTCAGCAGTAACTTCCTAAGTTAAGAGTAGGCTTGGTCTGAATGGGTCTGGGGGTAAGGGGACTTGTGACAGTATATGTTTTAGAGGGGATCATAACCTTTGTAACCCCTCTCACCTCAACACCTAAAAATAACTAAATTGTGTGAGCCAGGAAGTAAAATAGTGATAAACTATTCCACCCAGTCTCTACACAATACACAACATAATCTGACATAATTAATGATCAAGATTAGGTACTATCCTGCTCTCGTAAAAACTGCTTCCCACCTCCCAATTACTAAAAATATTTTAATCTGGCTAAGATTTAGTCATAGGCAAAGATCGAATATCCCCAGATACCTATGTCGACTCTTCTGAATCTGTCACAGGCCCTTTGAGAAGGTGAAGAATACAACGATCATTCCGCAAAATGCAGGCCCTATAGGTTCACGCACAGGGAAGTGTATATCCCATTGGAGAGGATCCACGGGTTGTGGAATCACTCCACTCATCAGCTTCTCAAAGGGACCTGGGATCTCAAAAGGCTAACTAAGTGTTTTGGAAATAAGTTAAGTGCTTTGGAAGTATATATTACTTGCCTCAAGGTGGCTTGAGGCAAGCGGGTGGCTTTTGATAAGAAATAGGGGTCTTCAAAGAGCAGAAGATGCAGCACTTCCTCCCAGATAAAGGCTCTACTTAGGTCCAAATGCAACGGTAAGTGGACACTCCCAGCACAGGGGCTCATCACAGGCTCAAGGGGAATAAAAAGGAAAAACTTAAGATGGCAGGCACAGTGACAGCAACTGAGGCAACTTGATTACCAACTGTGTACCAGGCCATATTTTCACCTCTACTAAAGCAGAGGTAGAGAAGACGACAGCCAACAGCAGCTGGAAGTAGTTGTGGTGACTGCCATTGCGCCACACTGACAGCCAGGGACCCAACTTCAGGGATTCCACCCGAGAGTAACTGTGTGCTACTTGCTTGGGGTTTGTCCCAAGGGGCCCGCCAGAATCGCCAGTAGTTTTAAAATGAGTTATCCCGGTGATGCCCCCAAATAGAAGGACCTCCTCACATATGGCGATGCAACCCAGATCTCAATCCCACCTTAGGATTTTAAAGCAGGCCGGGGGAGTTGGGTTTTATACTTACCACTGCCTTTGACTGCCTCTGCAGCTTGGGAACTGAGCTAGAAACGGCTCCCTGTGGGTTTGTCTGCGAACTATTAGCAGTGCTAAGAGAAGAAGAGCGTCCACATGGTCTCTCTGAGAGCTGATCTGTGAAAAGAGGAAAAGGCACAGTAAAGGGAGCCAACCACTTGTGTCAGAAAAATATCTACAGGGGAACACAGCTCTTCCTGGGGCTTGATCCGCGGCACGGTGTCTCCGATTTGACCTGTTACCATGACGGACCTGTCAAGTAGAGCTCACCGCTCCCACCCCCCTCACTGCTGGCCAACTCACTGGCCATTGCTGTCCAGTAGAATGAAAAACAGCGACAGAACCACATTTTCTCTCAACCCATGTCCCTACAACTCTTCCCTCCTGAACCAGTTGCAACAGTACGCCCTGTTAGCCAAGGCAGAACTATATTGGGTACCAAACAGCTGTTTGTGGCTCTTATTACTTTGAAATATTTCAAATTTCTCTGTTTGTTTTTTAGGACACAACTGAGTGGTTCTTTTCTTACTCACACGTAACAATATGTATTGCCTAGAGAATAAAATGTCCTGGGACCCAGGGGTGGGAGGGTGAAGCGATGAGATGCCGCAGCAAGTGAGTGTGTCTGCAATCTCAAAACTTGAATACTTTTTTTTTAAAGAACTCAAGTTCCAGAACCTTTTCTTTAAAACCTGGTGAAATTTCATCAGACCCGCACCGAACGGGAAGTTTTCAGTATGCCGAGAGTATAAGAAAGAGAGGATCTGGCTTCCTGACAAATTCAAATGAGGCTTCCTTTCCTCTCCATGTATTTTTAAAAGATATAAACTGCAAAAGTCTAAAGTCCAAACATTCCCTAGGCGACGAGCTCTGTATCCAAGTAATTTCCTTGATGCTGTGGGTTTTAACTTTCACCTCCATGTATTTTATAAATATCTGTGGCAAGGGAAGAGACTGTAAAACTTGCTAGGAGAGCTTGGCAAGGGAACGTATAATTTGTATGGCATAATGTTAGAATTATACGATCCTCCCTACCCAGAGCTGGATAGTTGTCATGTGTGTTAAATATAGTCCCTTGAATTAGCTGTGCTTTCTGCTATATGCCTGGCGATAGCTCAAAAGCATTTTTTCCAAATAGCAAAAGAACAACTATGGAGAAGTATTTTTACATTTATTGCTATTATATACAGCTCTTTTGACTAAAACTATAATTACTTGATAGCTTCCTAGATGCTCCATCCTAGTTGAGAATGGATCATATTGTTTGCTCTTGTTCTTGAATCATTTTATAGGATAAGCTGAGTCTTTCTAAATAAATGGTCATTTTCTCAAGGCCAGTGACCATCCTGTGAACTGCCTCTACAGCAGCTGGCAGTGCTGGGGAGCCTGTGGCCTCCCAACCGCCTGAGCAGCTATCCCAGCCCCATGTTTGGCCATTGGAGCTCAGGAGTCTGTCAGATGTGGGTCTGAGTCCCAGCTCTGCCACTAAGCTTCCAGTTAGGCATCTGTAGGCCTGATGTCCTCCCCTGTCAGATGGATCCAAGAAGAATACTTACCCCGGAGTGGTTTCAAAGATTGGGTGAGGACCCTCCCCGGTGGCACAACAGCTTAAAGTGCAGCACTATGAATGTGTCCACAGCCACTGCAGAATGTGTTTGATCCCCAGCCAGGGAGCTGACCCACATGGTGCAGCAGACCTCTCCTGCTCACCCACCACCCCCCTCAGTAGTGTATTTCAATGGATCTGCCTGTTCTGCTGCCCACTCTGTCTCTGGTGAATCCTCTCACCCCCCTGCCCCTCTGGCCTTCACCCCAGTTCTTGTATGCGTAAAGAAATAAATCTTACAAGAAAGAAAAAAAAACAAGACTGGGTGAGATCATCACCAATGGCTCTTATGGCAGGTTAGACCCATGAGAAAGGCTGAAAGCACTTTGCCTACGGTTTTCCCCACCCAGCTCTGTGCGACACACCGCTCACACGGCAGTGAAATCATACTCTAAGCTTATCATCATTTTCTTGCTTGTACTAGGATGTAGACAGGCTTAGTACCTCCAATGTGGTGGGCATTGAACATTTAGATAAAAGCTACTCTTTTCAATCACTAGGAGATTTAAGTAACATTTCCAGCTCAGGGGTACTGAGGGGTTTCCTTACATAGACAAAAATATACACAAAAGTATGAGAAAAATATGTCTGGGGGAAAGGGAAGTAGTGACTATATTTTGTAAACTATGAAAAAGGGAACTGGCCTTTTCCTTTTTATTTTGTGTCTTGTTATACTGAGCTACTTTGAATGAAATACTCCCTTGGTTCTTATCGTTCAATTAAGGGCATTAGAATAATATCTGTGGTAAGTATGTTTAAATCTTAAACCATGAAAAGTTAAGGCATGTAGAAAGGAAACCCTTTGGGGGCTAATGCAGGGGAGGGAGAAACGTGCACCAGTAGAATAGTCCTGGCCATAGTGGGTTCCCAGGGTAATCAGAAACATATGCACTCAGACCTGTGGCCCCCCAACTCATAAATCTCAAGCCCTGCTTACCTTCTGTCGCTTTGTTGACAGCTAAAAGAGTGCTCAGAACCTTGGAGAAATTGACTCCTGAGTAGAGGTCATCAGGATCAAATACCTATGAGAAAGGAAAATTGAAGGTGTGAGATACTGTCAAGTATTCAACTTAACAAGCCAAGCAAGCGAACGGCCACTTCCTCCAGCTCTCAGGAGGAAAAAAAGTGCGAAAGCCAAGACCCAAACCTCTGTATACCTTTGGGAGAAATGAAAGCAGCAGATGAGGCGCCCAGTGACAAGTGGCGGGCCACTGTGCGTCAGAGCACCGCAGTAATGGGAAATGAGAGGCTCGCTGAGAAGGCAGGGCCCACCGGGAAACGCCCCAAACGCGCTCAGACCCATTCTCCAGCCATGAACATAACAGCACTCTCAGCCCAGCCCAGGAAGCTCGCTTTGTGGCTTCACCCGAGGCCTGCAGAATGCCCTGAACTGTCCGAGGGGGTGGAGCCTTTCACTGGTCTTGTATACAGTTAACTCACTGCACTCAGTAGGACCACAGGCAGCAGGGCGACGCCTCCTCTGCCAACTGCTTGGAGTCCCAGCTCCATGCCAGGCCTGCCTTTTGCTCCCAGCCTCATTCCTGGCTCCTGTGGCTTGACCTGGCCCCTCTCACCTCATCTTCATGGAATTGAAGCTTTGCCTGCCTGAGTCTGTGGTTCTTTCCGGCCTGAAGTGACTCTTCCACGTATACCCTCCTGCCTTCATGCTGCTGCTCAATTCTCAGCCACGAAGCATGAAATAAGTCCAAAAATTCACTTTGCCAGTGCATATTGTATATTGCATAATAGTGCATATTGTTCTGATATGCTGCTGGTCTCTGCAGGAACCAGCCAGTTACTACTTTAAATGTAACTCAATGGCTAGTTTTAAAATATTCAGTGTATTTGAATGTGTTGAGACTTCATGTTTCGTCTTTGTACATTTGAAAATCCAGAAGGATTCTCAAACACAAGTGCCATTCTCTTAATCTGAAGGCCAAAAATGTAAATAAACTTATTCAGAGGTAAGCAGACACCCACCTTCAAGGCAGAAATGCCCCTTCTAAAAACATCTCGTTCCAGGATGCTAGAAGTTTGCATCTTTCCCCCCCAAATGTGCAGAGGGCAATAAAATGTATTTTTTCATGTAGGACTAATCATGGGCCTAAGATAGTGAAGGGCCTTCCTATCAGGCCGCCATTTGTTCCATTGCTAATCAGCAAGTCTTCTGGGCGCCATATCAAGACACATTTTTATCTTCTTTGTGTACATGTTCTTGAAGAATTAAAATCTGCCTCCAAAATGAACGTAGAAATGTCTTTTTTTTTTAATTGGGAGGGGCAATACAAATAGCACATGCAAACGTGACCCTCCACAGCCTGCTAGTTCTGCAATTCACAACTCTACATTCATTTAACCAAGGAATCTTTTGCACTCAGACTTAAAATGGCTGAAAAGCCTAACCACATATAAACCAGAGACACACAATATGCTTTTGGTACACTAGAGTTCAATGAAACATTGGGATCCAAATATGTTTCTGAATATTACAATATTAAATTCAAATTTTTCCAGGAATAAATGGACAGGTGTTCTGTTCTACTTTGCCAAAGCCTGGGTGAACCAGATGTAACAGATCTTGGAGAATATCCAGAGTTATTGACTCCCCCTTAGAACTCATTACTGGAAATGTACAAAGGACATGTATGCCAAAATGGTTGCAAGATGCTCGATTTTAGCATGTGACTACTAATGGGAGTGTGAATATGTGCCCGTGGGTGTATGTGTTGGGTAAGTATGGTGGAGATAGGGGAGATAGGCAGAGTCTAAAATAATAAGCAGAAGTAAACATCAGCACATTAAGGCATAAGTACAAAGTAGTGATCAAAATCTGCCCCCTTTTTCTTCTTCATCAAGGTTAACTGATTGCCTATATGTGGCATACTGGAATTATTCACTTACACCTGTATTTGAATTTGAGAACAAACTGATGGGGTACAGAATAGACCACCCCAAGATGCCTGGCTTTGAACAATATTGATTCATTTCTGAAATCAATCCAGGTTAGAAAACCCCAGCAAGGGTTCATGACCTTCCCCTCTCCTATCCAAAGAATGTAGGTAGACTTGTTCCAGAGAAGAGGTCATCAGCAGAGATAACTTCAACACAGTGAGGCATGTGAGACAAGGAGCAACCTAGTTGAATTTGTTCATTAAAACTGCTCCCTGCCATATCTTTTTTTTTGTCTTTCTTTTTCACATGACCAAGAGAGTCATGTTTCCCAGACATGTGATCTTTTTGTAAATCGCCTTCTTTCTCTTCAAAGTCTAAAATCCCTATCTCCTCCGTAGCGCAGATGGCGCCAACCCCTCCATTTTGTCTAACCACCTTCAGAATCCTCATGTGTCTGTAGATATGAGGACATGCCTAATTAGATTGGTCTTTTTCTCTTGTCAATCTCTCTGATGTCAATTTGAGTATTTACCAGTCTTGAAAAACCGAGAAGGGAAAAGGGAGCCGCCCCTGCCGCCAATAAAATGAGCCAATCAGAAAAATGAAATGTGCAGCAACAAGAAACATTGCATCCGCTTCAGGGAAGTTGTCTGGACGCTACACAGTTCCCTTTTGAGAAAACCCTACACACATTGTCCTACAGACATTGTACCCAGAGGCATTGTCTTCACTGCAAGCCTGTTCTGTAGCATTAGGAGCTATACAGGAAGGAGCTGGAAGGGCCTCTAGGGACCCTCAGTGGAGGAGACAATGCCTAAGGGTTATGATTTCACAGCAGTTGAAAGAACAGATGTGACCACAAGCACCCTCTGCCCCACCCTACCCTCCAAGAGCCCACTTGAATAGTACTGAAAATTCCACCCTGCAATTGGGATTGGTCCCCTACTAAAAATGGAGATCTTTCTTTTGTGATTTCTATATTTTTTACATCATTGTTCATTCTCCTCTCAGGTGTCGTCCCCATAGAATTCCCACCACCAAGACATCCATGAGCCATCACCATGGTCTCTTGTGCTCTTCCCTCTCCTGTTTCAATCCCCTCCCTTGCTAGCTGTCTCTGATTTATAGTTTGCTGGCTAGTCTTGTCAATCTCTTTTTTTCTTGAGTTTTGTCCTCTCTAGTTTTTTCTTGCTCCTGATAGATTTCCCTGTGTTCCTCCTATAAATGAAACCATTTTATTTCCAATAAAATGGAAATCTTATTGGGAGAGAGCACAACAGTTTCAGCAGTTATAAGCCCTTTACACCTTGGTGGAAAGAAGAGGTATGGATTTAGAGATGATGATGTGGACAAAAACTTAGGGCTCTGGCACCTACCTGGAAAAAAGCAAAGGAGAATCTCCCAACAGGGCCACATTGTCAGGAGAACAAAGAAAAGTAGATTACATTACAGGACATCTGCCTAGGATTAATCCCAATCACTTACACCTACAAGGTGGAGAAACGATTCTCCTGTCTGCAAAGCACTGACTTGCATTACCTTCTTACAAGATAATACAATTTTTGGGCCCTCCTTGGTGGTGCAACAGGTAAAAACACAGCACTGTGAAGCAAACTGCAGTCACTATAGCATGAGCTTGATTCCCAACCCGGGAGGTGACCCACATGGCGCGGCAGACCTTTCCTGGCCTGCCCGCTGCTCCCCTCAGCAGGGGATTTCAGTCAGTCTGCCTATTCTGCTGGCCACTCTGTCTCTGGTGAATCCTTTCACCCCCTGCACCTCTGGCCTACACCCTAGTTCTTGTGTGCATAAATAAATAAATCTTTGTTTTTAAAGGTAATGCAATTTTGCACATTTATACTGTCTGCATTTCTAACATAAAGCCACAACAGTGTTCACTTCTAGTCCTCTCTGTAAGTGTCACTAGCCTGATTAGTATGGTAGGAAATTGAATCCCAGATTAGTTCAACTTTACATCTATCTTGGTCCGGAAATTAGCTGGGTAGTTCTTGTCGGATGTGTAAAGGTCAAGTAAGTAGCAGGATTCACTCCCTCCATGTATCATTGCTAGGACACAGACAAGAAAGAACTGTTTTTATACAGTGGCTGATGGTTTCAAGATCCCACTCTCGCAATGTGCTGAGGCAGGTTCAAGTACAACCACAGCTGCAACTGCAGCTACAGTTTCAGGGATGCAGGAGATACAGGGATTAAAATCATTAAAGATGTCTTTGAGTTTTATGTAGAGTCGGTCTATGGTCCAAGCCCACATCAACAGCTGAAATCAGACAAGGCATTTAATTTTTTAATGCTTGCTCACATTTTTCCACTTTGGATAGCCACAGTGAAGGCAAAACCTATTTTCCAACCACTAAATACCAAGTACTAATTCTGAACTACTGCCAGTAGAAATGGCACAGAAGTTCATATTTTATGACTTTACAAATAGAGTCTTTTGGGAGTAGTTTTCAGTTTCAAAATATAGGCTATTTTCAGACATTTTCCCGAAACTGACAGAAGCAAGGGCACGCATGAGAAGAAAGTGTTCTACCCCTTGGTTCCATCCTCCCTGACAGCTTCCATTTCCTGGCTTCTTGAGCACTGCTCTGTGCTTGCCATGGTCACCATGCTGGATTCTCCCAGCAAGGCTGTGATATGCGCACAAGTGTTTCCCCCATTTTCTAGACGCATGAGCTGATTTGGAGTAATGAAGGCACAGAGCAAGAAAATTATGTAGTCAATAAAAATACCCAAGAAAGTGTTCTGAGGAGCATATGAATCCTAAATACATACTTTACATTCCTATGAGACATAAAAAAATGAGGAAGAAATCCGTGGGTTTGCACAGAGAAAGAAATCCCTGGTGCTGTCAATACAAGCAGCAACTGTACCATCTGCAGCGAGTTTATTACAACCTCTAAGATGACTAATTCAACTAGTGGTGAAGAGAAAACCTCTCTTACAAGATCGTCTCTGCAGTTACATATGTTGGCATGGGTGTAACTGAATTGGAGTGACTTATTTTAAAATGAGAAAGTGGAGGTCCTCCCTGGTGGCACAATGGGTTAAAACATAGTGCTACGGGACTATGGTGATGGCACAGGGTGATTTGGTGATGGGAAGCCCATGG